GGAGCCTCCCTCAGATGCTAATGCACATGCAGGAAAATGTTCAAAAAACAAAACTAAGCTTGTAATAGTGATCCTTTAGGTGATATGGGGCTAAGCTTTTATTTTTTCTTTTAATCACCTATTGCCTTTTTCCCCCTTCCTTCCTTCCTTCCTTCCTTCCTTCCTTCCTTCCTTCCTTCCTTCCTTCCTTCCTTCTTTTCTTCCTCCCTTCCTCCCTTTCTTCCTTCCTTCCTTCTTTTTCTTTTTGTGAGACAGGATCTCATCTCACCATGTTCCTAGGTTGCCCTCAGAATTTGTGGGCTCGAGTGATACTTGCCCCAGAGTCCTGAGTAGCTGGGACTGCAGATTTCTTTCTTTCTCTTTATTTATCAGAATTTTGCATTTTCAGCAATGAGTGTGTATCAATTACATAGTAATTTTTTCTCAGTGCTGGATATCCAACTCAGGGATTCAAGCATGCTAGGCAAGAACTCTACCACTGAGCACCACACAGCCCCTGTAGTAAAACTTTTTTTTTTTGACAGGGTCTTGCTCTGTATGCTATATAGTTCAGGCTGGCCTCAAACTCATTATGATTGCCTCAAACTCTCCGTAACCCTCCTGCCTCATCCTCCCAAGTGCTGAGATTACAGGCATGTGCCACCTTGGCTAAATTTTTTAAATGTAGATGTATTCAGAAAGGGTAATGCATCAAACCAATATTGGTTTCTAGGCCCTTAGTTAACTCATTAGGATGTGATTTGTCCTACAGTGAAGTGGTGGGAAAAGGTCTGTTAGGTCTGGGGTCTGAAGGGCTGTCCAGCTGCTCAAGCCGTGGAAATGGGAGGAAGGTATACGCCTCCTTGGGAAGTGAGTAGAGGAGGTCGCCTCACACGTCTGCCTAGGTCTTCCAGGCACTACATATACTGTACCTTGAGTCTATTTAACTAAAATTAGGGATCATAAGGTAACTTTTTTTCACTCAAAGCTTTGCCCAAATATTCTCTTTACACAGTTTTTTGTTGTTGTTGTGTTTTTTTAGACAGGGCTTCATTCTGTAATTCAGGCTGGCTTTGAACTTGCAGTAATCCTGCCTCAGCCTCCAGAGCACTGGGATTACAAGCATGTGCTACCGCACCCGGCTTTTTTTGTATTCTTTTTTTCTTCTTCTCTATGATGTCCCTTTGGAGTCAAACTCCTGCCTTCATAACAGACAAAAACGAGGGCATGTGGATTTTAATAATACTTTCAAAATAAAGAAAAACAAAAGATTCTTCTCCAAATGTTTTGTATTTTAATCTCCACCAAGGCTTTGATGAAGCTTTCTTTTAAAGTTTTCACACTGCAATTTGTAGACTTCTCTTAGGGCTCCTGTACTCGTGTGCAGGAGTGGTAGAGCTGATACAATGAAATACAAGGACGTCATGACTTCGACTCTTTTTAGATGGGGAATGGTGACATCTGCCTCAGTACTATCTGGAAAAGAAGCATTTGCAAGGGAAATTTACAGCATAAGTAATACTGGGGCCTGATGGACAGCTGGCAGGAATCTCACTACCTCCAGCAGCAGCCATTCATTATCCGTTGACTGGCTCCCAGGCAACACGCACAATGGCGAGAAAAGGGGAGTAAATGAGGACTAAGGTCCCAAGCAAAACTGATTCTTTCAAATAAACCAAACTCGCGCTCGCTTCGGCAGCACATATGCTAAAACAAACCGCAACTACCGATCACCTCCAAGTGGGTGGAAATATTGTGGCTTCAAAAGGGAGACACACTAAAAATTAAGCCTTAGTTCCTTGATTCTTCAGGGGCCCTCCGCAGAAGACACCACATTTCTGAACGACAAAACCACTGCCAAATGAATTATGACACATAGACTGTAGAATGCATCCAGATTTTTTAAATGTTAAAATGTGTGAAGATCCATCTTAGAATCAGTGACATATGGCATTATCTCCGTCAGCTTGTTCCCACTTCCCTGCGACAGGGACACGGGCTTCTATTTATGGTGACCTATTAGGCACCTCAACTGTCATCTTGGGACACCTACCCTTCTCCTAACTCGCTTAATTGGGGAAACATTTAGATCTGTCCCGACTTGGCAGGAGAGCGGATCTGTACTCCAAGTTCCTGCCAGTCTGTAATCCCCTCTCTCCCATTCAGTACTCAGCAAAAACCCCGCTGAGAGAAATCATGTTTTCAGGACTGCATGCAGGGTCTGGGGCCCATCTGGTCTGCTCCACTCTGTTGACCCCTGGGTGGAGCACGGCCAGCAGAGCAAAGGACTAGAAACACTGGGTGATCACTCGGAGAGCTTGGCCGGGCTCTCCCGTCCAGCCCCGGAGGCCCACCCAGGACATTCTTGGAAACAGTCCAGGCTATACTGAATCTGTTGTCAAGGGCACAGCAGACGTTCTTCATGAGGACCCACTGCGGACATTTTTTGGTCTAAATACCAGAAATCTTTCTAAAATAAACTCTTCAAGTTGAAGTGATATATCTATGTATCTA